GAACACAGGGAGAAAGAGGTAGCTCTCTGTACACAGTAAGAGTTTACGAGAAATGGCCTATGGAGGTATACCCATAAGGGAAAGACAGAGAGAGCCCCCACCATCACCACAAGAAATCTGAACCCCACCATTTACCACAGCATCTGTGACCAGCTAACTGTCCCTTTACTTCCCCAGGCATGTATATCGGTTTCCAACAATACTCTATAACACCCGAATAGTATTGGAAACAGCTAACGATAGAGTGCTTTGTAGGGGTTCTCCTGAGAACCAAGGCCATTGGTGCTGGGTTTATTCTGACTCTAAAGGCCCGTGGAGCAGTGATAGTGTCCTGTGGGGGTCCCAGGGCTGTTAGTCTTTGTAGAGGCGGGTTGCCACGGCTCTCCCCCATGGAGCCGTTGATGGGAGCAGGCCCACGTCTTTTGGGTGTCACTTCATTGTTTGGCCACTGCGTCACCAGGGCACCTAGTTAGAAATTTTCCCCATGGAAATCAGCATACAAGATTTTAAACAGAAGTAGGATAACAAAATAACAACAAATGCACAATAGAAAAAGATCAAATGGGGCCTTATAAAAGAAGTTAAATGGGACCTTATAAAAATTTTAAAGCATGCTCATGAAAATACTTTATTGGCAACCTACAGACTGGGAAAGATCTTCAGAAACAACTTATCCAATAAGGATTTCATCTCTAAAATCTGTTGAAAGTGCAGCAACTAAACAAAAGGATAAACAACCCAATCGTAAAAGAGACAAATGGACATGAACATAACTGTCACCGCAGAAGATATCCACATAGCCAATGAACATATGAAACCTGTTGAAGATCATTAGTCATTAGAGAGCTGCAAATCAAAACTAAAATGAGATGCCTGGGGTAAAGTGACACTGCATATATATATAACAGTAAGGCTCATCTCAAAAAAACCAGAACTAGATCCAGCAATCCCATTCCTAGGAATGAGGGGATTTCAAAAATTTTGGGGGAAATTCCATTACCTGTCAATTCCACAAAAAAATCCCACCAATTTTTTGGCATTGCCTTAGGTATACTCTAAAACAAAAACCAACCCCACTGCCATCATGTCTTTTCCAATTCATAGTGATGGTATATGTCAGAGTCTAACTGTCCTTAATGTTTCTAAGACTGTAAATCTTGACAAAAACAAACCATCTTAGTCTCATCTTTCTCCCTCAGAGAAGCTGGTGGGTTTAAACTGCTGATATTGCAGTGAACTGTCCAAATGCTTAACTCGTTGTGTCATCAGGGGCCCTTGTATATACCCCAGAGGTCTAACAATTGTACAATAGACATATGCACATTATATTCATTGCTGCTTTCTTCATATAAATCATATGCTATTGTGAATAAAGCAGCAATCAAAGTGTCCATTAATAAATGACTGGATAAGTAAACTGTAGGCAATAATAAAGGACACTGATGATTTCATGTAACATATTAACATGGATGGATCTGGAGGGCATAATGCTAAGTGAAATAAGTAAAGAAAATAAGGACACACGTTATATTATCCCTCTTCCATAAGAAGATAAGTATAGATAATCGTGTGCATATATAGAGATCAATGCTCATTAGAGGTTGGCAGGAAGGATCAGGGAGGGGAAGTTACCCTTTAGATCATAGAGACTTGTTGTTTGGGGTGGTTTGCTTGTGTTTCATGCGGGGATAAAGGGCACGGAATGAGGATGGAGTGAGCACAGCACAACCAAACAGACATCAATGCTTGGGTGCAGATGGAGAGATATAGGGTAGGTACGTTGTATGGGTAGGTACATATTTCTACAAAGGTGAGAACAGAGAGAAGTACCTATAATCAAAGAAACAAAACCCCAAACCCACAGCCAACAAGTAAATTCTGACTCATATAAACCCTATAGGACACAGTAGAACTGCTCCTTAAGATTTTCCAAAGTCTAAATCTGTACAGAAGTAGACAGCCATATATTTCTCCTGAAGAGAAGGACCATCCCCTGGTGGTTAGCAGCTCCATACAGAACCCCCTGGACCCCCAGGAGTCCTTGACATATCTATATTTAACCTATATTTAACATGTCTATATTTAACCTAAAAGAAACTCACTGCCATTGAGTCGATGCTGGCACATAGCAACCCTGCAGGGCAGAGTAGAGCTGCTCCGTATGTTTCTGTGAGTGTCACTCTCTACAGGGTAGAAAGTCTCATCGTTCTCCCCGGGAATGGGAGGTAGTTTCTTGGTGGGTTTTTTTGTGGTGGTGGTGGTGGTTTTGTTTGTTTTTTTAGCTAGTTAGTTTTTGTATGTATGTATGTATGTATGTATTACTAGACAGGTGGTTGCTTGTTTGTTTGTTTGTTTGTTTGTTTTAATCATTTTATTGGGGCTCATACAATTCATCACAATACATAGATCAATTGTGTAAAGCACACCTATACATTTGTTGCCCTCATCATTCCCAAAATTCACTTTCCTCTTGGGTTCCCAGAATCAGCTCATTTTCCTTTTTTTCCCCTCTCTCTCCCTTCCTCCTCCCCCCTCCCCCATGAACCCTTAATAATTTATAAATTATTATTATATCTTATATTATACTGCCCGGCGTCTCCCTTCACCCACCCCTTTGCTGCCTGTCCCACAGAGAGGAGGTTATATGTAGATCCCTGTGATCAATTCCCCCTTTCTACAACCTCCTTCCCTCCTGGTATCACCATTGTCACCCCTGGTCCTGAGGGGTTCATATGTCCTAGATTCAGGCAGGTAGTTTTGAAGTACCAACATTGAGGTTAGCACCCATGGGTTATCCACTATGCCACCAAGGCTCTCAGATGTAGCTATTTTTTTTTAAATGTGGGTAGAAGCACACATATTCATTCATTGAAACACAAATAAGGGACACAATAAAAACCATGGACACAATAAAAAACATTCAAGATGGGTCTACTGGGTTTGAAAGCTTAGGACCATATTTGATGAGATAACTCAATTGGCATAAATGGGTTCCCCAAATCACATATATCCTAGTGAAGTGGGTAGCCTCTGGAGCTTGCAAGTAGTCATCTAAGACACAGTTGCTGGTGTCTGCTTGCCAGGAGCAAAATAGTAAAAAGGAAAAAGAAAAGCTCACAAGAGAAATAAGTCTACCTCTGCCTTGAGACTGGAAGAACTAGATGATGCCCAGGTACCACCACTGACTGTTCTGATGAGGTCACAATCGATGGTCTCAGAAAGAAGGGGAGAAACTGTGCAGGAGAAGTTGCATTTCGTTAAATAAGCAAGCACATACACACACTAGAACAGTAGATAACTGAGGCCTATCACCCTGCCACAGTGTTTAAACCTAGAACTGAAACTGTTGAGATAACCTTTTAGCAAAAAAGTTGAGTGGGACCCAAAATAAAGGATATTATCCACAAGATAGTGGGGGGGGAGGTCAGATGCGTAGGCATTCCCTCCACTGAGGGCAATCAGACTGCCTCTGGGGACAATGGACAGGCTCCTGTAGGCGGAGTTTTCGTCCTACTGATAATGGTTCCTATGGAGACCCAGAGACCACTCCTAGACCACCCTCTCATTACTATGTTACCTATAGTGTAACCCCTTCCTGTGATGTATGTCTCTACCTGTAATTAGTGGGCTGGTATGCCCCCAAAAGGTATATAGGCGTGGGTCAGCAAGATAGAGCTCTCTGATCTCTGACTCTCTGCTCTCCTTGCTGCTCACTCCCTGGTCACTCCCCTCTCTTCCCCCTCTCCTCTCCCGTCCTCTCTTCCTTGTTCCCTTGCCCTTCTTCCCTTCCCTCTCTCTTCACATGGACCACCAAGCTGGGCTGAGGTGAGCAATGCTACCATGTAATGTATCTAACTGCATTATTGTAATATCTCTCATGCTCTCGATGACTTTAATATAATACTTATATATCTCAACCGTACAATTGTACTTACTGAACCCGCGATTAGCGGTGGGGGCTGGCCCCCCACCTCATCGCCAATTTTAATTTAATACTACAAGATAGGTGTCTTAAAATGCAAAATTGAGGATGAGGGAGCATTAGAACTCATTGTGATGATGTATATACAACTCTTTTTAAAAGCGATTGAACTATGGAAGTGTATCATATGTGAATACTATGTCAAGAAAACTACAGGGGAAAAAGAAGACAGAACGAATGGAACCTATGGTTATCGGGGTCACGGAGGAGGAGTTATTGCTTAGAAGGCATTGAGTTTGTGTTATGGTGGTGGACGAATTGGGAAAAGCCTATCAATGACTGTACAACAGGAAGAGTGTAATCAATGGCACTGAATTCTATATGTAGAAGTTGCGGAATTGGAGAATGCTTTGTTGTGTATGTCTTTGCAACAATTTCAAAAAATAATTTCATGAATAACAAGGAGTACCAGGAAGAAGAAAATGTTCTAGAATTGATTGTGGTGATAATTCCACAACCCGTCTTGCTAGGATTGAATTAATGAATTGTATGACATGTTTTTAAAGTACAAATAAAACTGTTAAAAGGGAAAAAAACCTGAGGCAAATAAGGTAAGGAGGCAAGGAAATTACCAGAACACTGGAAATGGAGCAAACGGGACCCCACTGCACAGTGTTGACACCGTGCAATAAAGCTAAAGAGTGTCACTGAACAGTTTGTGCAGAAACTGTCGAAGGAAAGGCTTCGCCTGCTGTGTGAACTTTCTCCAAAAACTCAGCAAAATATTGTTTAAAACAAAAAACTCCACAGCACACAAGACTCTTCCAGTCAGAAGGAAGGGGAAGCAACCCGAGCAGAGGCATCCGTTAGGAGCAGGTAATAGCTATGAAGTAGGCTTACAGTAAAATACCACCGTCCAAAGCCAAGCAAACAAATGACAATGAACACCCTCCTGAAAATACATAGGAATAATGTTTGGTGTGTAGAATGGGAACTCAAGCCACTGTTAGAATTCCTCTTCAAGACACTGGAGGACATGAGAACATTGTTAGCACTATTTTTTAACCTAAATACTTACTCTTTTTTACAGGCTTTGGGCTTAAACTTCCAGGTGTTGAATGCCCCTTCTACAGCTTTGGGCAAGTAAATAGGGTGCCTTTCTAGTCTCCTCTGAGTGCTGAGGGTCCTCCACTCGGTGCTTGTGCGAAGCTGGACATCCAGGGTCTGAGCAACCCGGGCAGCCATGGCCTTGGAATGTCTCCGCGGTGCCCGTAGGATCCAGTTGGAGTGTAAGCTGTGAGTCCGGGAGCTGGTGGCCACTGGGAGAGAAAAGGAGGGTTTGCCATCAAGAAAAGCAGAAGACGAAAGGGGAATCCAATTGGGAACTCACAGCAAATGCGCAGGTACAATGTTTGTAGAGCAAGTTTAGAAAGGGCCAGCAATTTAAGGATGAGGGATTTGACTTTATAATCGTGGTGCGCGACTGCAATAGGATGATCTTCATTAACAATGTGTACATATATTTATATTGTTTAGTGAAAAGAGAAGAATATAGCAAAGAGACTGAAGGCCCTCTTTTTTTAACAAGTCCCTGGGTGGAGCAAAAGATCCTGGGTGGCATAGTGGTTAGGAAATGTGCTGCTAACCATAAGGTCTGTGGTATGAAACCAGCAGCTGCTCCTCGGGAGAAAGATGGGGTTTTCTAGTCCGGTAAAGAGCTATAGTCTTGGAAATAACACAGGGACAGTTCCCCCCGTCCTATAGGGTCACTCTGAGTCAGCATTGACTTGATAATAGTGCGTGGTGATGGTGGTGGAGTGGGGCAAACGGTGAGTTAAGAGCTTGACTTTTACCAAAGAGGCTGGCAGTGGAAACCTACGCAGAGGTGGGTTGCCAATCAGCTCCTGAAAGGCCAGCCTTCACAACCCTATGAAGCAGGTCCTTTTTGCACACACAGGGTCACCATATGTCTGAATCCATTTGACACGTGAGCAACAAATATAGATAGGTGTAGGTGTTTATAGACAGAGATGGAGTTGGGGAGAAAGAGAGACAGAGAAGGGGCAAGGTTTCAGTGGTTGTTATTGTTAAGTACCCTCAAGGTGGTTCTAACCATAGTGAACATTTATATTGTAAAACAAAATACTGCCCTGTCCTGTGTCATCCTTATGTTTGAGACCATCGGTGTAACCACTGCACTAATTCATCTTGTGGAAGGTCATCCTCTTTTTTCCCCTGCTACTTAACTAGGCTCGATGTCCTTCCCCAGGGACTGGTCTCTCCTGACAACATGTCCAAAGTACATAACAGGAAGTACTTGCTTCTAAGGAGCATTCTGGCTGTACTTCTCCCAAGACAGATTTGTTTGTTCTTTTGGCAATCCATGGTACTTTCAATAACACAATAACAATTCACATTGAAATATGAGAGTTCTACCACTGAACCATAAAGGAAGTATTTGAATTATAATTCAATGGTAGAGCTCTCATATTCTATGAGCGAGACTAGGGTTTTATTCCTAACCAATAAATCTTGTGTAGAGTCACTACTAATCTGTCAGTGGAGGTCTAAGTATTGCTAGGATGCTGAACTGATTTAGGGAAGCTTCCAGACTAAAATGAACTAGCCAAGCTGTTGAAAAACAGTCACTGAAAACTCAGTGCATCACACCACCTGATTCACAAGGACTGTACAGAACTAGGAAGTTTTGCATTCTGAATTGGAAGGCAACTCCATGGCAGCTAACCTACATCAGCAGGTGGGCATTGAGAGGAGCCCTGGTGGCACCAGCATGTAAGCATTGGACTGCTAATCATTAGGTTGGAGGTTCAAACTCAACCAGACACTCCTTGAAAGACAAGGCTGTCTGCTTCCATAAAGAGTTCCAGCCCCAGAAGCACCATGTAAGTCTGCCATGAGTTAGAATTAATTTTATGGCAGTGGGTAGGTATTAAAATTTTTTTTGAAAGGACAAACACCAAAATGATGATGAGTGGTGGAATTAGAGGTATAGTTTTATTAATATGATTTATAGTAAGCATACATATCATTACTATTTTAATGGGGAAACTGTAAGTATTATCATCAAAAACAATTTAACTCCAAAGATGAAATTTACATCTTCGGTGAATACCTAGGTATTCACTGTATTTCCTAGGTCTTATCCTGGGACAAGGCTGTGCATTGCCAGGAACTGAAGGGACTGCCTGGGAGGGGAGGGCAAGCAAGTTACCCTGAACAGTAAGAGAAGGTTTGCCATCCGGAGTCACTTCCTGTGGAATTTTACAGAATCCCATGAAACCTAATTAACATAGATAAATATCCAGGTGAAAGAATTATCGTTTGAGCAATACTCAAGAATGATACTATATTTATACCAAATGTTGGTACTTTAGTATCTTGGGGCCAATAACTCCCTGAATAAAGTTGAAAGAAACAGACAGTGAGTGCTAGAATTTCAAAGTGGGCTCAACTCGTGAACATGTTCGATTCTTGGTTCCTCATCGGGAGAGAACCAACAACACGTAGGTCGGCATGGAGAGAAGGGCCTTCTTAGCTTGACTCTTACTCTCTCTTCAGAGCTCTGGGAGGAGGCCTCTCCTGGCCTGCATCTCCACCTCTCTATTCCCACAGGGCAATAGTGGAAAGGGGGAGATGTGGATTTTTAACAGGGTGGGTGCGTGGTCAGAATTGGTTCTGGCAGACAGTGCTACGTCCAAGGCAAGCTAACTTCTGTAGGCTCAGAAGTTTGATTTCCCCTCCCCAACCTCACCATTCAAACCTATGCATCTTTCCATCCTGCCTCCCAAGCCCACTCAAACCACCACTCTGTTTAGTCTCTACAATGAGATTTAGGGAGCTCTGGAGGTGCCGTGAGATAAGCGTTGGCTGTTAACCCCAAGGTCAAGAGTTCAAACCCACCAGCCACTCCATGGGAGAAAGATGTGGCAGTCCTTTTCTCTAAAGATGTCAGTCTTGAAAACCCTACAGGGCAGTTACTGCCTGTCTTGAAGTATGGCTATGAGTTGACATCAACTTGGTGGCAATGGATTTACCTTCCAAGGTATTTTTTATTCCAAGGTATCTTTGAGTGGTCCTGAACTTCAACCATTCAGCCAATGTATGAACCATTTGCATCACCCAGGAACTCTCTGGAATGTTCTGCACCTTTTCAGAATGCCATGTGATTGGATCATAGCTTTTTAAATGGACGGATTTCACTAAGCAATCCACATGTAAGGTTTCCCTGGGTCTTTTCGTAGCTTGATACCTCATCCCTCTAATTTGTTGAGTAATCCTTCATTGTTTTGATATCTCTTTATCCATTCACCTACCAAAGGATATCTTGGCTGTGTCTAGTTTTATTTTAATACAGTTTACCTCTTCCCATTACCCAAGAATTTCCCTGTAGCTATCCTTCATAGAGTCTTACAAACATTCTAAGCAATCTTACCTGTAGTAAGTGGATCAGAAGAAAGGACTTTGGGTCCCAATGTGGCCTCACAGCATTGGAGAGTTAGGCTGGAAACATGGCAGCTCAGAAAACGAAAGCAAGAAGTATCCCAAAGAGAATAGGTTCTGGGATCAGGCTATGGCTTGCATGTGTGGGATTTCCCTTTAATCATGGAGGTGGGATTCCTGCTACCTACTCAGTCTACCACCAAAGACCTCAACCTGCCCACTCATCAGCCTCAAGAAGTCTGGCTTTCCTTGGCACTTACCATCAAAGTCCACATCCTCGTTTGGGGGGTCGGTCTCAGTGGGGAAGGACCGCTTCTCTGTGTCCAGCTCTGAGATGATGGAGTCAAAGAAGGCTATTGCTTCTGCCACGTCTGCACTGAACTGTGAGCACTTCTTTGGGTTTGCTTTCTGTGGGCAGAATGAGAGAAGACTGTTCCTGAGCCAGCCTCCGTGTGGTCTCACGCGCGTCAGCCACAGAAGTTGAAAAGGATTAAGTGTTATCCAACCAAATTTATATGGAGTTTTAACTTTGTGGGATTTAAATTTGAACAAGCATCCTGGGGAAGGAAGGAAGATAGCCCAGACCCATAATTGTCTAGTTTAATCAACTTCTAATTATCTCAACGATGTAGAGTAGAAAGGACAAGACATACCACTTTCCTGGTAATTAATTTGTTACTAGATAATAGGAATAATAATTTGGTTTTCTTTGGTTTCTCTGCTGATAAACATCCAATTAAAAAATTCCCAGTTGTTTAGGTAACTGGTGAACTCCAGAAGTAAAAGCATCCTATTGGCCTAAAGTGACAAAATTCAAGCTCAAGGCATGACATGAATAGAAGAGAGCCTAGGTTTGATCATCTGAAAAGTCACCAATATTCAACTCGGTCTATTTACATATCTAGTGGTGGAAACAACCCAATTGTCTATCAACAGATGACTGGATAAGTAAAATGTGGTATGCACACACAATGGATTATTACTGTCATAAGGAAAAAAGAAGTTCTGATACATGCTACAGTATGGATAAAACTTGAAAACATTTTACTGAGTTACAAATATTGCATGATCACAATGATGTGCATTATCTAGAATGGGAAAATACCTAGAGACTGAAGTTAATAATGGTGATCACAAAGTAGGGTACTGAGTTTTTGCTTGAGATGATGTAAGCTTTTAGAATCAGATCATGATTATGGTAGCACAGAATGGTAAATGTAATTAATGTCACAGATGGTTGAAATGGAAAAATTTTGCTTTAAGTATATGCTATATATATGTATCTTCAATTGTGCTATGTATATATGTAGCAATATTTTGTCTTGTCAACATTATTTGCATGTATAAGTCAGTGGCATTCATTATATTCATCATGCTATGTACCTTTATCCATTCCAAATTTTCTGTCACCCTTAATAGAAACTGCGTGCTCAATAAGCAATGAAGTCTCCCTTCTGCCCTCCCACTGCAGTGGAAATGTAAGAAATAATAGTAACTTAGCCAGGTCCCAGGTTCTATACTACCTCTTTCTCTTCCATAATCTTATTAAATCTTCACAATAGCCATGAATGGTACGGAAGAGTGACATCACAGAAGTGAAAGCATCCTATTGGACTTACAAGGAGAACTCATGAAAAAGGAGATAGAATCAATAAGAGAACTAAGAAAGAATTCTCTGAGTAACTGAAGAAGGACTGAGAGAACTTGTACAGTGGAACAATGTCCATTAATGTTGGCAATTTTGACCAAATGTAGAGTTCTTTTATTATATGTGGGCATTTAAAAGTGGAGTGGTATTTAAGATGAGCATTATTAAATTACACACTGCCATGTTTGGAAATAAAAGGATGCTTCTCTGTGTGTGTGCCAAGAGTTTTTTCAAATACATGTATTTTGTACTGCTAGAAAACAGTTTTAAACATATAGAGAGTTTTTATTTTGCATTTATAAAAAGCTTTTTCAGAGAAGATAATAAAGGACCCCAACATGCACTTGATCTTTTCCATAAAAGTGAGCCATTATCTACATGTAATTATTCTTCTCCATTCAGAGAACCCTGACATTGAAAGAGAACAGGGCTACAAAGTAGAAACAAGCAAGAGAAAGACCAGGAGTGGAACAGAGGCTTCAAAAAAGTTTCTAGCAGTTAGAGAAGAGTTGAATAGCGGCAATTGAGTTACCAGGGGTTCCTGGAGTTGCAGGTAATCAACTTGACTGCTAGTCCAGCCACCCAGAGATACCTCACAAGAAAGAGATGGTCAGCACTTCTGAAAAATCAGCCTATGGAGCACAGTTCTACTGACACACATGAGCTCGTGCCGTGAGTCAGAGGTGACTGCTTGCAACTTCCGTTAGTGCAGTTGACTAGAGAAACAAATCCAGGGACACTCACATATGTATTAAAGAGAGCTTTAGATCAAAGAGTATATCAAGAAAACATCCCAGTCCAGTCCAGATCTAGTCCATAAGTCTGATATTAGCCCATAAATCCGATACTAGTTCATAAGTCTCTCTTCAGACTCATGCAGCCACGTGCAATGATGCAGAATGTAGGAAGATCACAGGCCGGTGGGTGCAGAATCTTATGGATCCAATGGCGGTGGAAGCATCACAGGGCTGACGCAGGTCTCAGTGTGGCTCCACATGGCTTGTGAACAGGAATGTGAGGCAGAGAGAGAGAGTGTGGCCTGCTGCCAGGGAGAAAGAGAGGAAGTTCCCAGAATCCTTATGAGAAGGCCACACCCACAGGGAGGCATCATCAGACTATATCTTGATTGATAGACTAGACTCCACCCCTATACTTATTTATCAAGTTGACGTGAAATTATGGAACTACCATACAACCGGTTTTGCTTAATAATATATTTCATCAAGAAGGAAAATAGACAATCACAACATAAATGACCTATTATCTCACTTAATCTTGACAGTTCCACCTAAGCTTCACAGGGATAGCCAGTAACTTGACCAGGTCAGGTTGACATCAAAGCTGATGCTCTTTATACCACATGCAGACGAGGACAAGGTGGCTGCTCCCTTAAGAGAGAATTGGAGAGTGGACAAAGTGACAGGATAACAGAGATGACAGGATCAGAAAAGCTGTATTGGCAACCAAATCATGAAGAGGTACTGTTTGGAGCAGAGCAGGGTAGGGACCTGCAATTCCCTAGGAACAATCTATAACCCACCGTTTATGAAGGGTTTATTCAAGTGACACTGTATTTTGCTACTCACAGAAAAAATTAAAGGTACATGGAGGATTTTTTAACTTTCAGGTAAAAATAAATTATATCATTAACTTCCTTTGGGACTCCCAATTTCCTTGGTCAGTCATAGGTAGATATAAGTGTGTATTATTTGATATTTCACTTAATTGCCATCGGTAACCAACTGGTCTGTCAATCAGAAAATCAGGGTTAGAGTAGAGAATTAGCAAAACACTGTGCATATATACAGTAAATATTTAATCATAATTTAAAGTATACAGATGTCTATTGATTCATCAATATTTTAAGTAGACCTTGCTTACTTGAGTTCTACATTATCTTCTTTGCTTAAATTTTATCCACAATATCTCATCTACAGTTTCCAGATTTGGTTTATTTAAAGTGACCTTTACACAGAAAGCAAACTAGGAACTTCAAGAAGCCTGTGGGAAAATTCAGTGCAAAATCCTTCTAGACATTTTCTATCTTTCCTCAAGATAGATGTTTGTTTGGCTCAAATCTCATTTGGCTGTACATATATCTGTGACTTTCTTTCCCTCCCCCCGACCCCAGTTTGAGAACATTTTATTTGTTCTTATAGTCATTGTTATTGGCTCTCCACGACCCCAGCCTTCCCTGCCATACCCCCACAGAACCATTAATCCAGTTACTGATAGATCTACTTCTTCTGGATTTCATACACTCTGAAACATTTAAAGAAAAATAGAAAACAACAATAACAAAGTAAATGGATACCAAGTTCAATATAAAAAAAACAAAGCAGAAAATATTGAAAACTAGAACAAATTTTAATGACTCATAAGGGAGATGAAATGATAGGGTTTTAAATTTTAACCTAAGTGCATCTGCAACGCTCCACTTTCCAATGCTCTCTGCATGTTGGCAAGGCGGCTCACATCCCCAGTCCTCGACCAGAGTGGACTTCCTAGCAGCTTAAGACGCGTGTATTTCCTTACTTCTTCTTCTTTTTTTTAACAGTTTTCTTGGCACTTAATCCACACATCACACAATTCAATAGTTTAATCACTTCAAAAAGAACTGTACAATTACTACCACAATCCATTTGAGAACGTTTCTTCCACCCACCCCCATAGTTAAATCATTTTTAAAATGAGTTGTGCCATCACCATCCGTTCTCGAGTGCTCCCGCCCACATACTTTGTTTGCGCCCCCAGCCCCCTCCCCCTCCCTATCTCTCATCCCCCACTCCTACATCCCCTTTAAACCTTTACATCAGTTCTTATCTCTATGCCTCCACTCCTTCTGTGCTTCACAAACTGGAAAACCCAACAGAAACAGGACAAAAAACAAAGTGGTAAGGATAAAATAATACCATAATAATACAGAGATAAAACTACAAATAGTGCATAAGGAAGAAAATACTACCGTGAATATTTATATGGCCAGGGAAGAAATTTTTGTCATGGAACAAGCAAGAAATACTTGCCCTGGCCTAGAAGAATCTCATGGGGATCTGCCAACGGCTTAATCTGACCAGACACTCTGCAGATGGGTTTTGGACTCCCACTGTCCCCCATAGCCTTCGACAAATTGGGTGTTCACAATGTAGGCTCTGATACTTTTCCCTTTGTCAGATTTGAATTTTGTTATTGTGATTTTTGGATCACACAAGCTGTGTGCTTCTTCCGTGTGGATTTAGTTGACTCTTCACTTAGATGGCTCCTGGTTTGAATACAAGCTTTTAAATCGCCAGACACTATTCTGATTGATAGCCAGGCACCATCTGCTTTCTTCACCATATTTTGCTGTCGCACTCTTATCTTCAGTGATCATCTCATGAAGGTAAGTGTGGAGCAGGACAAGGTTGTCAGAACTAACTGTTCTTGGATTGGGACTAGAGTTCAGTGGGGGCCCAGAATCCATCTGCTTGTCCCTGAGATATGCATGACTCAGGTTTATTTTTGGCGATTGTATGTAACTTTCTATTATTGAACCATTCTAAAGCATTTAACTTAGTTTTTACTGAAATAACTCTTTTTTCAAATGCATATTATATTACATGTAAGTCATAATTAAAGTGCATGATAAACTATAATTTTACAATAATAATTCTATATCTCATAAACCACTTAGGGGAAAATATGATTTATTTTTAATATAGACATAATTATTTCAACTTGCAATAGTTAAGAAGTACAATTGATATACTCTAGGTTCTGA